ACCAAGGTATAAAAGAAGTCTAAGCACTTTTGCTCAGTACAGGACCTTCAATTCCATTTTGTGACCCTAGGAGCCTATATTAATCATAACTCTAAAAAGGGATGGCAAAACTGCAGAAAATCATTAAAATAACCATGTATTTTTCCTTTCCCTGAAAATAATGGAAGACTTCAATTCTATTTATATTTGGGGCATGCTCACACCCATTTTTCATAATTATCCTGCCAATGCAGCCCATAGGATTGGAAGTAGTACTGATTGGTGTCCTAATAGTCCTCACCCTATTCTTCACTATAGACTAGCACTGTTATATATATGGAAGGAAAAGCCCATAATCATGCAGGTATTAAAAGTAAATGTTTAATTGGCAGGAATAAAGGATCTCTCCTTTTAAAAATATATATGATGGCTCAGTCATTAGGATGCAGTATTGTAGGCTAACTCTGCCCACTGCCAGGAGTTTTATCCTGACCAGCTCAAGGTTAACTCAGCATTCCATCCTTCCAAGGTAAGTAAAATGAGAACCCAGATTGTTGGGGGCAATATGCTGACTTTGTAAACTGCTTAGAGCAGTGGTTCTCAACCTTTTTAATGCCGCGACCCCCAACCGGTCATAAGTCGAGGACTACTCAATCGGTCATAAGTCGAGGACTACTCAACTGATGCAGCACCATTTGCAGAATGGGACTTTTGGCGGGCTCAGCAGGGCAGAGACAGACTGGACAATTCCTATTGGCTTTTGAAAGCCAATAGAATTAGACTCTATTCAAGAGAAAGCCAATAGAATAAAAGGGAGTAGCAAGGAAAAGGGGAAAAAATGGTGGACTGCGTTGTTTGGCAACCCCCGTGAAATGGTCGTTCGACCCCAAATAGGGTCACGAACCACAGGTTGAGAACCACTGGCTTAGAAAATGCTGTAAAGCACTGTGAAGTGGTATATAAGTCTAAGTGCTATTGCTCTCTCTGTCTCTGTCTGTTTGTCCATCTATCTATCTATCTATCTATCTATCTATCTATCTATCTATCTATCTATCTAGATTACATGCCATCCATTTGTTGTCCATTCTTAGCAATCACATAGATAGATTTTCTCTGTAATGATCTGTCCCTAACCTGGTCCTTTAGTTCTTCCTGAATTGGTTCGGTTCTTCCAAAGTGCATTCAACATCATTGTATCCATTTACTATATTACTAGTAAACCCATTCTTCTCTTTCTTTCCACCTTTCCCAGCATTACAGCCTTCTCCAGAGAGCTAGCTTTTCAAATAGTTGTCCAAAATGGGTAATTTCAGCCTGGTCATTTGTGCCTCAAGTGAGAACTCTGAGTTGATTTATTCAGTTGGTTTGTTTTCTTGACTGTCCACAGGATTCTCAAGAGTCTTCCCCATCAATAATAAAGATGGAGGAAAAAAAGAAGCAACCCCCTCCCTAATGGCTCCAATATGGATCAGATCCCAGTGTACTTACACTGTAAAATAAAAAGGGTGTTCATAAAATGCATATTTAAGTATCTTATAGTTCAGCCTTGAAGGATCACTGAGCTTCATACCTCAGTCTGGAGACTCTTGGAATCACTTGTGCTCATTTTTTTCTGTTTCTGTCCTCTTTCATTCCCCTGAGGAAGTACCAAGAAACTTCAGCCTTTGCTTTTCAAATACCCATTAATAAAGTGCCCTTTATGTCAGATGTACTAAGTAGCAGAAAGCCAATGCACAAAATATATTTTTGCACCAATGGCATATTCCAATTGAAGCTAAGTACAAATATTTTGTAATTCCTTTGGTCTGCATTTGCCAAGGTAAATATATAATTATCCCCATGTTGCTTCTGTAGTTGAACAACAGGCAAGTATAACTACATTGCCAAAATTAGGGGGACTATGCTTCAAATTATTTAAATGTTTTAACATGCTGTACATTCTAATACAAGGTGTCCCTATAGGTTTATTGTGCTGTGTTAACTCAAGCATTCCATTATGGTTTTAACCAAATGCCAAAGTAGCTCTCCCAATTAAAAGCATAATTTTTAATTTCAAAAGCACACTGGTCCAGTTACTGCCTTGAAAAAGGATCTGAGTAGTGAATGTTGTATTTGCTAGAAGCCTTCTGTGGTGACTGGACGCAGGTGTTTGTTTGTTTTCATTGTGAAGACTACTATACAATGAAACAGCTTGGTGTCTGCTTTACTGAGTTACAGATGTGATGCCAAACATTGGATTCTGCTGTAAAACTGCTAAGATCACCACAACACTGAATGAACAGTCTGGTTGTTTTATTGTTGCAACTGCAATATTCTTGCTCTTTTTATGCTTGGGTCATAAATGCTTTTGTTGTCTCTTACTTTCTCCTGAATTTTTAGACTGAAAGGCAAACAAGCTAAAAAGTCAATGCAATTGTACTAGAAGGGGGGAGAGGAAGGATTTGAGCTGCAGTACAAACAGGATTAACATTTTAAAACAGTCATAATACTGCATGCTTCTAAGCATTAGGGCTGTGAGAAGCTTTGATACAAAGGAAATTCAATCAAATAATTCCTTTGAATTGAATGTTTGCATTGAACTGCCAAATCAGTTTGACTGCCAAATCAAGTCAATTGATTTGATGTAAAGTGTGTTAGAATTTTGCAAAAGGACATTTAATTTGCCCAAAAATTTGAATCAAATTGATATGATGACTTGAATTGCACAGTTCAATCAACTTGAATTCCAGTCAATATGTCTTTGAATTGAACATTATGGTTGAGTAAGGTTGTGGCTAATTCACACACTCCTACTAAGCATATCTCTTTAGAATGAAGTTCCTCTTCATTCACAACCTAGGCCTATGACAATCTATATAGGATTGCAGTTATATATTGCTGCAATTAAAAAAGTGTATTATATTTTGATAAATTTGGTTTGGTTTGCAAGCCAGCATGTAGTTGGGAAATTAAGTGCATCTAAATGGAACTCACATAGTTATTGTTAGTGTGGAAGTAATATTTCAAGTTGTTTTTCTGTGAAGTATTGTCAATACAATTGATGTTTATGGACATTGTTTTGCTTTTCATAACTTGGAGAGTCGATTGTTTCATACTGCAGACATTGTTCTTTGTAGTGAATCTGCATGAACAAACTTTACTAACATGGAATGTTAGAGAAGCTGATAGACCTCTCACCATCTGATATGATGCAATATCTTTTGCTTCAGCAAAAATCACGTTATTGGATTGCACAGTTTTTCTGATAAATGACTATTTATTTCCACAATCCTTTGAAAGTGCAGTTCTTTTAGTCCCCAATAAAAGAGCTATACTTTCAAACAGATCTGGGAATAAAGCTTTTTCTCTTATGTTGGGACATTTTAGGGATAGTTGAATCTGTCAAAAGTCAGTTTTGCTTAATTGCTCAGTTTTGTGAGGTTTTCTTTTAGTATAACAATTCATTAAATATGAAACCTCCTATAAATTTGGAAGGAATAAATACAATAAACTCATTTAAAAATTCAGATGAGACAGATTTCTCAATTATTCCACAAAGGCAGTTCTTAAATAAATAAATAAATCCTAAAAATTAAAAAAAAATCTTAAAAAGAAACCTATATTGTACATGAATAACAAATTAATATATTCCAGGTGTCTGCACTGATGATAAAACTTGGTTTCAGATATGATTTGGTGCTTTTTCTTAATCAGGTCAGAGTTTATTTGCTGATCTATAAGGGAAAATAACTTCTTAATAAGCTTTTTCGAAAAAAAGAGGTGGAGGAGTTTTGTTGGATATGTACCAAATCTTATGATATTTTCTTTGAAGATATCTATTTAAGCAAATATTTTGATCTGCATTGGTTCCTCAGTCTCACTAAACTAGTTCTTTGCTGCTATTTTATGGCTATCTGGATTTTTGTAGCTGAGACCTTATAGCCCTATGAGTGGAAAATTAATGGGTTAGATGGTCGTTGACTTTGGTTTTCTTTTTCTTCTATGGTACAATTTAAAGAGAGATTAAAGAGTGCTTTCCTAAGAATTGAAACACAGTGCCTAACCTTTTACAATAAATATGATAAAAAATTCTATGTCTTCTTTATATCATGTTTGACCCTTTGTTTTCAACCTTTGTCTATAACATCTTTTTCTGCAGGGCCCCAAACTTTTGAATTGTTCCCAAGCCTCGCAACTTACTTTGTTGCTGCAGAGGGCATCTACTTTGTATTGTTAAGCCACAGATTCTTCCAAGCCATCTTCATCTGGTCAACATTTAGGGTCATCCCAGGCTACCAGAAGATGGCAAGAAAGCTGAGCAGAGAACATTTTGCTGCCATCTAGTGATAAAATGTACTTTGCAGAATTGGCCTGGTAATCTTAGAGGAACAGTTCCAGTCTCAGTCCCAGGACGTATTAGAATCCTTCCTCTTCATGACACATCATCCTTTTTACTGACACTTTTTTTTTTTTTACTGAAACTGAAGCATTCATGGCAAAAAAAAGAATCAAAGAGAAAATAAAATCAAAGAAAGAAAAGAGATAAGAACCAGTATAAGTTGAATGTGACAATCTTGTGGAAGCAAGTTAAAATAAATAAATGAAAGCAAAAGCTAGTATATTGAAATTGATTGGTTAGTCACTAACCTGACATTGAAGGATATGCCGTCCATGGAGAAATGTAAGTTAAGCTGGCTAGATACGATATACTCCACCCTGCTATCATTTGCTAGCTTGTGGTAGATAGGAGGTTAATTGCACACTGATTGTCTAGACTCATTGCAATTAATGAAGCAATTCTCTTAAATGTATGTGCATCAGTCATGGAGATACTCTTGCACAGTTTTCAATTAATTTTCTAGTCCAGCTGGAAGGAACAAATGTCCAGTGAAGGGAGATGAGATTCTTTAAAAAAAAAAAAAAAACAGATTTGGTACCAAGAAATTCACTTCTCTTGAGTCTATGTAGAATGCATCACTGGACAGTAATTTGACTGTATAATGTATTTTGTGTATCTGTATCTCTTTATATACATTTTACAGGTGATTATGTGGTGATGGCAGTCTATTTTGATTTAAGCCGAAGGATGGGCTATTTCACCATTCAAACATATATCCCCTGCACACTCATTGTAGTCCTCTCCTGGGTTTCTTTCTGGATTAATAAGGATGCTGTACCAGCCAGAACATCTTTGGGTAGGTCCTTGCTTCTTTATATTTTTAGTAGTCATAAAACCTCTATAACAATGTGTTAGCTTATACAAATTGCTTAGATATGTGGATCCAATATGACAATCATTTAGAATGCTGCTTTAAAGCTTTTGCCCTGTTAAAATCTAGAGAAGCACAATGTAATGCTCTGATTGGAATTCTCCAAATTGGCCCCAAAGAAGCTCAAAACTTTATTACTTTCAGATCAGCAGAATAGAAATGAAAAAGTTTGTAGCTTTGTTTCTCTGTCCTCTTCCTGGCCTTGCTTTTTTAAAACATATGCTTTCACTTATAAGCTATGGGAGGAAATTATTTTGACTGGGCCAATAAAATTTCTAGGTCAAACACATGGGATGGGATGTTTAACATCCTTACCTCTCGCACCTCCCCACCCCCATTTTATTTCATTTGCTAACTTTTTTTATGCATTTAACAGAATTTCCAAATTAGGTTTCCCAACTCCAAAAAGAGTCAGTCTTCTGAGCTGGAAAGAGCCTGGATCCAATGCAATGTTCTACTTTCTTATATGGCTTGTATGGAATACTAAACTAATTAGGCTACGCTTACAGCATAGCAATATCTTACTTATAATAAATACATTTTTGTCTATCTGATATACTTTGTATGTCTCTGTGTGTGCCTTTGAACCAGTTTTTTGACTCCTGGCAACTATCTGGACAACTACATGAAGTGTTCTTGGCAAGGTTTTTTGGAAATAGTTTGTTCTTGCCTGCTTCCTAAGGCTGAGAAAAAGTGGCTGGCCCAATGTCACCCAGCTAGTTTTGTACTAGAATCCATTGTCTCCCAGTTTCTAACTTGATCTCTTTAACCACTATACCAAACTATCCCAAAATTATTTTCAAGAGCATTGTGTACCACATTAGACAGACTTAACAATAGTTTAAACTGGGAAAACTGTGAGCATCCTAGATCAGCAGTTCTCAACCTGTGGGTCGTGACCCCATTTGGGGTCGATCGACCATTTCACGGGGCTTGCCAAGCAAGGCTGTCCGCCATTTTTTTCCCCTTTTCTGGCGGGTGCCTTACCTCCCTTGAGCTGGGCCAGCTGGTGGCCCAGCTGGTGGTCAGCCTCTCTGCCATCTCTGCCATGTGCTCCATCTCTGCCGCTTGCCAGCTACGCCTTGGCTGGTGCAGGGGGCGGCACCGCGCATGCGCGGTGCTCCCGGGCAGGGAAAGTCCTCGACTTATGACTGGTTGGGTAGTCATCAACTTATGACTGGTTTAGTTCTCAACTTACGACCGGCTTAGTTCTCGACTTACGACCGGTTGGGGGTCACGGCATTAAAAAGGTTGAGAACCACTGTCCTAGATCAAGCCAAATCCACAAATTCTAAAAAATTCCTAGAAGCCTGGCATTCAGACAAATCATCCATCAGCAGACACATAAACAACATCTACATATCATTCAAAAGAGACAATCAAAAAGCCCAAAAGGAAACAGACCAAACATTTCTTCTACAGCTATCAACAGGATTAACACTAGACCAACAGTCAAAAAGTAAACAACACCTCAATCAAGAAATTATCAACTCAGAGAAACAAACTAACAGTAAATTAAAACCTAATCCAGGAACTACCAAGATCACTCCCATTTATCCTGAGAGGGCAAGCTACTAGTATACAAAATGAGAACAAGCCCCACTGCCTTATAGCACTGATGATGTTAGTTTGGTAATAAAATCTCTGCAAGAAACATCCAAGCTAAGAGAACACCAAGAACCACAATAGTGTTCCAATCACTGCCTCTATATGCCTTGAATTGCTCATTAAATAAACTATATGATTCACTTTATCTATAGTTATAGTATATTGTCAACATTTAATACTTGACCAATATAGTAAAACAGAAGATATGATATTACAACCTGATCTTCAGCTAAAAGAGAACATTTATTCCCTTTCTTTCAGAAGTTATTGTGTGCAAATGATGCCCTATATATTTACATCTTTGTGAACATATTTTGGAGCAGATATGATTGAGATGTTTACATTGATCAGTGACCATGCCTAGTTCTGAAGTGAAACATGGCTGTCTGGAAGTTCAACCAATATCTGCTAAGGGAGAACATTCTCTAAGATGCAAACCATGATTATGATGATTGTTTAGTTTGTTCTGAAGTGTTGAGATCCCCCGCTCATATTTCTCATAGAAATGTATGGATATATTATCATACAATAAAATAAATAAACACGAACACCAGGATAAAATTAAACTAAAAATGTTTAATAAAATGCTGAGCTTTCATTGGTCAGCACTACCGACATCATCAGAGCTTAAAAACAGGTCGATGGGAGTCTCCTTTTTAAGCTCTGATGATGTCGGTAGTGCTGACCGACAAAAGCTCAGCATTTTATTAAACATTTTTAGTTTAATTTTATCCTGGTGTTTGCGTTTATTTATTTTTATTGTATGGCTTTACCCAGGATCGAATTTTTAATGAAATTAGAGGTATATATTATCATGTATGTATGACATTCTCATAACTTTAGACAGCTGGATTACTGAAACATCAATTAGTATTATGACTCTCACAAATCTTAGGTTCTAAGGGCTTCCCACTAAAAAGTGGAATTAAATGGTTCACATGAGCACCACTCATGGGGTAAAAAGCTTCTGTGATAGGATCGTGGTATTCTGTTGGCCAACCATACACTTTTATGTCTACCACAGGGGTCTTCAAACTTGGGTGAGGAATTCTGGGAATTGAAGTCCACAAGTCATAAAAGGGCCAAGTTTGAAGATCCCTGGTCTACTGGTTATGTTTGACATCAGTATGACTATATTAGTATAGGTGTGCGGAATCTTCCATACGAAGCAGAATCTTGGGTCAGTCAGTACATTGGGACTGCACTCTTTTCCACTGCTGCTAAGCCTATGGTTGCTATACATTGTAGCTGATCCATATGTCATTAAGAATGTGCAAGTCAGCTTGGTATGAATTGATGTATTCTTTGCCTATGTTTTAAGAAGGCTTACTGAATACCTCTATTTTTGGTAAAATATAGAGTTACGAAGGTAATATTCCCTTTGCAAACTTCATGTGTTAGAACAAAAAGTCAGAGGGAGATTCTTCATTCAGCAAAGTGGGCTTGGTAGTCCAGGAGTCTTTAAACTTGACCCTTTTATACTTGTGGACTTCAATTCCCAGAATTCCTCAGCCAGCATGCCTGGCTGAGGAATTCTAGGAGTTGAAATCCACAAGTCATAAAAGGGCCAAGTTTGAAGACCCCTGTGGTAGTCTATCCAGCCACAACAAGGATTCTAACTATATTTATTTGAATGCAGAATGCCAGTTTTAAAAAAAAATAATTTGGGAAGATCAAGGGTGAAGCTCATACAGATCATGAGTGAAACAATATGGTAGACAGTACAAGGAGCTTTACCTTCTCACCCTCCTTGTGTATTTGAACTAATGAAGGAAAACTTCTGAAAGGGATTAGTAGCTCATGACTTGCTGTCAGAGAAGAATATTCTATCTTTGAACCTTTCCTTAATCCAGAATGTATCTAAGCCTTACCACAGCTGAACATATATTCCAGAAGTAGAATTTATTTCTGAGATACAAAGAACAGAAAGCAGTGGTTAAAAACACGAGGAAAAAAATGTGGCTTTGAAATCAATTGACTCTACCAAAACTATACTATCAAATATTCTGAAATTCTATCAGATAGTATTACATGCCTTTGAACTGTTCCATTTGTAAGGTGGATGTCAAATATTAATAGATGTTCAAGATAGAATGAGTTTTAATTTCTGCCAGAAGCAGTGATATAATTTAAAATGCATATATTACCCATATTTATTCCCAAGTCTGAACCAATTATTCTTTTTTTAGAAAAAAAATGTGGATGTTTATGCTAAAGAAAAAGTAACTATGATTGCCATAGGCAATACCCATTTGTGAGTAAGTTTTCCCACTAGCCTAATTGGTGAGAGCACCCAATGGTGATATGAGGTCAATAGGTTGTTAGAACGAAGTACATTTCAAGTATATATTGTGATATCTTTGTTCACCCATATCTAGCGAATAAGAAGATTGGATTAGACTACCAACTTGTATTTCCTGCTTTTGGCAAATCAAAGCCAAAATCCATGTGTGTGTGTTTTCATACGTATAGTGCAAGTTTTTAAAAACCTTTTCTCCCTTAAACAACTGACTATGAAACTAGGATGTTTCCTCTTTGCTCTCAAATTAACAGTCTGATTCCATATCAACCATTTTCTGTTGAGATACAGGGAATCATGGAGAATCTGGTTTTTCATTAGACATGATGAAACTTTATTAAACTTGAGAATGGACTTTTTTTTCTGTGATGAAAACTTTGCATTAGCCCAGTTCCTGGGGTTTATAGAGTTCAACCAATACAGTTCACGTAGCATTTCACTGGTTTTTAAAACGTAGCCAGAGTAATTTCTCTTGGCAGTTTTTTCAACTTCATCACAGCAACTGCTCAGATTTTTGTTATATTTTTTTTTAGAAATTCATAAAGAAAGACTTCCAAGGTCCCTTCCAACTCTTTTATTCTACTCTACTCTACTCTACTCTACTCTACTCTACTCTACTCTACTCTACTCTACTCTACTCTACTCTACTCTACTCTACTCTACTCTACTCTATTCTAACATAGCATTGATTAAGAATGTGGTTGAAATTGATGATGATGATGTTGGTGATGATGATGATGATGATACATTTTTCTGTTGGTCAGCTGGGGAGAAAAGCATATTGTTTCTTGTGTTCTCAGCAATTCAAGAAGATTGATGAAGGGTTGTTTTTTTTCCCCTGAAGGTTTGGTGGGTGAAGACAAAGGTGATGTGGGATGCTTTAAAGTAGTAGCTATTACAACCTATAAACACTCATTTTAAATAAATATTCACATTGAAGGAATTCTAAAGTTCACACTGTTGTGTCCTGAGCCTGCAAAAGAAGGATCGGGACATTACAATGGTCCCAGGCTGTTGC